GTGAGATATTTTCCACTTGGGTGTTGAGTGAGGCTTTGTTGATTTTTAAAAATCCAAGCTATATCCTTCACTTTGAGTTGATGCAAATTCTCATTTCTCATAATTGTGGGTAGTGAGTATGTTCTTCCACTCGGATATGACGATGATGTCTCGTCTCCTAAAATTAACCAACGCACTTATGTTTTAAATTTTTAAAGGTGAACTACGAGTACCTTGATTCCTTATTGCATGGAAGGTGGTGCGTAGGCACTAAAGATTCGCAACCGCGGCGGGTGCAAGAATTGTAAAAAAAAATACTTCTTTTCTCACCTTAACCATCTATTTTTGTATACAACACTTATAGCCAAAATACACAAATTTTCAAAGAGATTTCTGTGGAATATCATAGATGTTTAGGGTGCTAATACCTTCACTTTTCATAACCAGCCCCCGTATCTAGATTCTCCTTCCCTCTTTTTTGTATTATTCACTATTTTCCTATTCCTCTAGAAACAATAAAGCGCGATGATGGTTTTTATTTGATCTGTGTGAGTTAAGTCAATCAAATGGCTTAGTCTCAATATTTTTACCGCTACATATTGTATTTATTGTGTTATTTGTATATGATTTAATAAAGTGCTTAGAATAATTAGTTTGTTCAATGACCTATTAAGTGAGACTTAATCGTAGACCTCGCTAAATATAAGAATATTATTCTTAAAGTATTTGCAGTCAAACTTTACTTTCAAATAAGACAACAACAATGCATAAAGACTATTATGTGATAATGTGAGTAGATTGATTATCGTATCTTATGGGTCATGAATATTAGATAGCAAGTCTTCACATAGACATAAATATTAGAAGTAATATTTATACTAGATTGAACAACCATAATAATAATACATAGTATCTTATGTAAAAAGTTATTCTTACCTTGATAGTGATGTATACCACCACTCGACTTAAAACCATTGTGGACTCTAAATGTAGAGTCGAGTATTTTAGCGCCAATTAATGCCAATAAAAAGATTATCATAAAAATAATTGATGTGTGCTCTACTAATCATGCTAAAGGACATTAGTAACTTATACAAGATGCAAGAGCACAAATTCAAATGAGCGATATTTCTCTTATTCAACATTAAAAGAGCGTATTTCAACCATAGATTATTCGACAAAAAAAGTCATGCTATAAAGTTTTTTATTTATTTATCAATTATAATTAATAATTTTTATTAGAATTGAAAATGAAAACTTAACGAATCTATTATAAATATATAAATATAAAATTACTAATAAATTACACTCTAATCCCTTTGATTCCAAGTTTAATTATGACTAAAGTGACACACCCAGATTTTTTGTTGATATTTTATAATTATTTTAATTTTTTACATGTACAATACATAATCCTAATTATTTAATGTGCAGTTGAAACGGAGCGCTAGCTTATCCCTCCACTGATGAGACTATAATACATTTGCGATTCCAATACAAATCAATTGTTGTGCAGTCATAAACACTATAACTTCTCGTATGGAACTGGATCTGATTTGGGTTTTGTTGAAGCGTCTTTCTGTTGATTATAGGAAAAAGTCCAAGCTGAATTTTACTATTTATCCTTCTCCTCAGGTTTCAACCTCTCTTGTTGAACCATATAACAATATTTTTTTCAACCCATTCTCTCCTTGAACACATATATTGTTGTATTTCTATATTTGCAGGTGCTCTCCTAATATCGAGAGTCTCACTTTCAACCCATCACAATTTTATATCGTGATGTTGTTTATTTTAAATCGACATATCTTTTATCTTAAAGATAGTTTCATTTTGAGATTGATATTTTTTTAATTATAAAATCATTCCATTTCAGTATCACTATTCTTCATATTTGTATTTATCATATCAGTTCAAGTTATAAGATCCATGATATATCCTGTGTATCAAATATTTTATGAGTAGTGCTATTTGACACTATATCAATGTATGAATTAAATACAAAAGAGGGAAAATAAACAATAAAAGAGAGAAAATTTAAGGTAATGTATTATTGATTTTTTGTTAATAAAATTTAAGTAGTAATTTGTTATTGATTTTTTGATATTCTTAAATCTGATTTTTCAATTTCCTTAATGATAACTAATATAATAATGGTTAAATTACTTGTAATGTTGTAATTGATGAAAGGTATAACTATTTATTAGTTTTAAAGTATGAATAGTTAAATATTGATAAGACGCTTAATTAATTTTTAAAATTTTAATAACTCTAAATTATAATTATTATAAACATAATAAAATGAATGATATATAATGTATGAAATGAAAAGTATTATGATAAAATGTAAAATTATTACAACTTTAATAATAACAACTTTAATTTTAATTAATTATAATAAATATATTATTAATATATTTTATTTTTCTATAATTTCAGATTTGTAATAAATTATAATAATTTTGCATTTTTGAGTAATCTCTCATATGTGTGCTTACCTTAAGGTAATAGATGAGTGAGTTCTCTCATATATATGTGGATTGGGACACACCTTTGTGAGAGACACACCACTTGTTCATCTAAAATCTTAAGGTAATAGATGAGTGAGTTCTCTCATATATAAATGTTCAATCTTCCCTTTTATAATCAATGTGAGACTTCCCTCACACTTGATTCTCAACAATTAAAAGATCTATAAATAAGAAAAATCATTCAATACTATAAACACAAATATCTTATTATTCTAATTAATTTTAACTACATAATTTATTTCAAGATATCATAAAATATAGATATTCAATTAAAACTGAAATTTAATGGGAAGCTGTCATACTTTGTATGTTTGTAAAAATTGTAAATTTGATATAATAAGAAGGACTAAAGAAATATTAAAAAAATGACGTATTTTTAAGAAATATTAAACATAAGGACTAAAGAATATTACAAATTATAATTTTTTTACTTCAAAGTTAAATATTTAGTTTATCATTCTAAAAACATAAACATAAAAATTATTTTGTAATTAATTAGATCCTTATTTGAGATATTTTGAAATTATTAAAATTTTTATGGAAAGGTTAATAAAACAAAACAAATTCAATTCAGATTTTGTAATTTTTAAACTTGAAATAATTAAAACATTTCAGAATTTTTTCAAATTAACTTTATAACTAGAATCGTGATAAAAAAAATGTTAAATGATAGTCATGAAAATTTAATGATAAATGATAATCATAAAAAATTAATGATAAAAGATAAAAATTTATTGATACATTATTTTTATAATTGGAATAAGTTACAATTATTTTTATAAACGAGAATAAGTTACAAATAGTTTTATAAATATAACAAACTCAACTATTTATACAATTATTAGTATAAATGAAAATAAATTACATATATTTTTATAAATGGACACCCATGATCAAGATATTTATAAACGAAAAAAAAGTTACAATAATTTTATAAACGATAATAAGTTATAATTATTTTATATAAATTAATGGTATAATATAATTTTTATATAAATTTATGTTATAATATAAAGTATTAAATATTTATATTTTAATTTTATAAATTATTTATGAAGTTAATTTTATATAATATTATTAAGACTTAAATATTGAAAAGTCGCACTAAATTGAAAGATTTTTATTAAAAATCGAATATAATAAAATATAAGAAATAAAATAAATATTTGAAATATTACGTATGATTCATTATAATAATAAATGTTAAATTATTATATAATATTATAATTTATTTTTCGATACTCTTATTGTCAATAATAAATTTATTTTAATTAGTTATAATAGTTATTTTGCTTGAAAATAAATTAACTAGACATTAAAATAATAAATTTAATATATATCACTAATATGTAATATTTATTTATAAACATAATTAAATATGAGACACATATTTATCACTATTGAATAAATAAATTTAAGATGATACGATAAATATTTATTTTTGCAATTATTTTTTTATAATCATAAATAACTTATAAATATTTTTATAAATGATAAAAATTTAATTATTTATTCAATTGTTTTTAACATGAATAAGTTAAAAATATTTTTATAAATAATTTCACGGGTTCAAAGTATTTATAAACAAGAATTTTTTTACATGATGATATAATTATTTGTAGAAACAAAAATAAGTTACAATAACTTTTATAAACAAGAATAAGTTACAAATATTTTTATAAACGAAAAAAATTCAACTATAGATACAATTGTTTTTAACATGAATAAATTAAAATATTTTTATAAATTGTCAAACGGATTCAAGACACTTATAAATGGAAAAAGTCTACCTACTTATATAATTACTTTTACAAACGAAAATAAGTTACAATAATTTTTTTAAACAAGAATAAATTACAAATATTGTTATAAACAATAAAATTTGATAAAATTATTTTTATAAACGAAGATAAGTTTCAATTATTTTATAAACGTGAAATTTAAATTTGATAAATGATTATATATTATAACTATATGAATATTAACCAACTGAATACATGAAATGAATTGTATATGTGAATACTGTTCATTTTAATATTAATCTTTTAAATCTTTCTTTTGATATTGTTTTATATAATTGAAGTTAAAGAATCAAATGTACGATTTATTATAATATAAATTAATACTTAAAAATTAATGTATATTATAAATATATTTTGTGACTATATGGATATTAACCTATTGAAAAATGAATTCAAAATTTATAAACGATAATTTAATAGAGATGTAATGGAAATTAAAAAAAAAAATACAAGATTTATTTAAGTAAAATCATTAAAAAAAAATACAACCACAATATAAAAGCAGACCAGCGCAAAACGTGACGGCGGGAAAAAACTGAGCAGAATGGAATGGCGGGAACAAATTGGTTTCCCTTTATTTCATTTCCATTTATTAATTTAAATAAAATATATTTAACTAAAAAAATTGATTTATATTAACTTCTACACACTCTCATTCCAATTTGATTAGAGTGAGAAAAGAAAAAAAATGGGGAAGAACAAGAAGAAGAGAACTAGGGTTTCCGTTTCCGACGACGACGAAGAAATCGAAACCGAAATCAACAACGATTCCAATCAGAACGAAAACTCACTCTACCAGGTAACGTTTCTAATTATCACAGTATGAATTTGTTTATTTTTCATAGAAATGATGATTTTGTTGTTAATGTGAATTAGGTTCTTGGTGTGGAGAGTACGGCGACACAACAGGAAATAAAGAAGGCGTATCATAAGTTGGCGTTGAGGCTTCATCCTGATAAGAACCCTGGCGACGAGGTTCTCTCTATTCTGCATCTATCTATAAAATTTTACATTTGTAGTTTTAGGTCTTTGCCAAAGTTGTAGCTGTTTGCATAAGTAAATGCTAGTTGTTAACTCTGTAGCACCGACACTGCCATAAAAAGGTGTCTCACTCTCGGTGCCGGTGTTTGAAACCGACTTCAATACTTGTGATTACCGCACCACTTGGGCTACGATTTGCCGTGGTTGTAATTGTAACATTCTTGTTCCCTGTTTCTTTTGCAGGAAGCTAAAGCTAAGTTTCAGCAATTGCAAAGTGTTATCTCAATTCTTGGAGATGAACAAAAACGGGCAATGTATGATCAGACTGGTTCTGTTGAACACGCTGTAAGTGTTTCAATGTTTCCACCTGATAATTTAACTTAGTAAATCTTCAATTTTGTGCCTAAGTTTTAGAAATATGAGAAATAGTCCCTAAATTATTCTGAAGCTACCAAGTTAGTCTATCATTTCGAAGTTGTTATGATGCTGAAACAAGGACTTAATTATGTTAAAACTCAAGGGGATTACCTTCCCAACTCTTTTTTTTTGTTTGTTACTTCATATCTCATAAAAATTGTCATATTTTAAAGAAAATTATTAGATGTGTTGATTTCAATGATAAAACTAATATCATTTACTAGAATACCCTTATTAATTATAGTTAATAGAGTAGTTGACTAAAGTAAAAGTTAGTAAATAGGGGTATAGTAGTGAAAAATAATAATAAATGCTGCATTGATATCGTAAAAGGACAATTATTTTGGCAAGATAATAACACAAGTTTGATCACTCACCAAGGACATATGAAGAATGAACCTTCTTCATGTGAAAGATGTTGGGTAGTGTTATAACCTTTGTTAAATATAATATATCAATACAAATTTTTACAGTAACTCAATTTTCTAGGTATTTTATGGCAGTAAGTTTCAAACAGTATTTTAAAAAATGCAGGCTGGTGAGTGCGATTGAGAAATCTATTTGTGGTAATGGAAATTGATGAATGAATCTGTTAATGTAGCCATCCCTTGTATCTGACATCTCTATGTAAATCATGAACACCTTGGTTGATAAGTTTCAATAATAGTTGTAGCTTAGCACTTTTCAGAGACACATTTTGCAATGTGAACTTACAATTATTATCCAAGTAAAAAATAAACTGCCTGTAATAGTCTAGAAGATTCCTACTACACAACAGTTGTTACTGTTTGTTACACTACAGATTCTAAACATTTTCCAAAATCACTTTTTTTAAACCAAAAAGAGAAAAACATGCCAATTAAATTGTCAGTTATTATTATTTAACTTAAGAAAGTCAGAGAAAGGGAAGTAGACAGTAGGGTTTGTTATTGGCTGAGTTGGTTGTAGGTGCGCTCTCTGATCCTCCATCAATTGAGGGTCATGTTTGTGCTCTCATGGTATTGCTTTTGTTAACTTTTTTGACAGTATAAGAACTGAAGAAAATGTTAAAACGAAGAAATTGATTAAAATATAGCTTAGACTAAAAATTTCACTTTCTCTCTTACTTTTATTGCTTAGTATTATTTTTAACTTTTAAAAAAAAAAATTATCCAAGTTGGGTCCCTCATCAGCCCTGCCTAGTTCTGTCCCTGTGCTGAAATATTATTGTAAATTCAAACTTACTTACACTGAGTATTATGCTTGAAGTATAGTAGATTTGTTATTTGCAATGTTTAGATCCTTTTCTTCTGCCAACTAAGGTTGAGAAGCCTGTTTACATTTTATGATATTTTAACAGTGTCCCAGAAATTGACAGCTCAGTTTTTATTTATATATTTCTTATATTCAGGACCTTGCTGGAGATGTTGTTCAGAATCTTCAAGAATATTTCAGAACAATGTACAAGAAGGTACTTGTTTCTGTATCTATCTTATTTTGTTCCCAATACCTTGCATTATGGTTGTTTTCAGTTTCTTTAGCTCTGTAAGTTGTTCTATTAGGTCACCGAAGCTGATATTGAGGAGTTTGAAGCAAACTACAGGGGATCTGACTCTGAGAAAAGTGATTTGATTAATCTCTACAAGGAATGCAAGGGTAATATGAACAGGTAATAATGCATTTTGATGAGAAACACCTGGCTTTATTTAATGTAAGGGATTTCAGATTTGAATTTGATATTCCCTTTGCAGGTTATTCTGCTCAATGCTTTGTTCAGATCCTAAACTTGACTCACACCGATTCAAGGATATTATTGATGAGGCCATAGCTTCTGGTGAGAATATTAGTAGCTTTTGTTGATGCAATTTTGAACTAGACATTTTTTCTAGATCTAGCTTACTGATTTTTGTAATGCAAAGAGATACTGATTTTTTTTCTTTGTTACCTGTTTTTCAATATCTGCAGGAGAACTAAAGGAAAAGAAAGCATACAAGAAATGGGCAAAGAAAATTTCGGAAACCAAGCCACCAACTAGTCCTTTAAGGAGGAGGGAAAAGTAAGTTTATCAAACAGCGTTTTGGTTATGTTATTTACACTTTTATGTAATTAGGAATAATCACATCTTTATGTTTAAATCATCTATAGATCAAATAAGGATCAAAAAACAGATCTGTATGCTATCATATCAAAACGACAAACTGAGAGGAAAGGCCAGCTTGACTCTATGTTCTCGTCTTTAATTTCAAAATATGGTGGAGACCATGTGCCAGAACCAACTGAAGAGGAATTTGAGGCTACACAAAGAAAGATGGAAAGCCGAAGAAAGATGGAAAGCGGAAGATCTTCAAAAAAGGCAAAGCGAAAATAACCAACTTACCTTTGTGAATAGTCTGCTTCTCTCGTTGTGACTGTCATCTCAGCATTATTGGTAGGAACAGCATTGGTTAGTTAGTTAATGTCTGAGTAGAAGAACATAAACATTCCTAAAAATTTGAGGTCTAACTTTTCTTGTACCACTTAAGTCTTCAATGTTCTTGGTGAATTTATGCTTTAAAGCAGCCGAACTATTTTATGGTGGTATCACATTAATGTTCCATTTGAGTGAAGCTTACCATAAACGCAAACCCACAACTTCTCATGACTGCTTCTGTTTAAGGGACCACGAATTGTCAAACGTGGCTTTAAGTCTAAAGTCATATGCCAAAAAGCCTGACTACCCTTCAAATAGTAACTTCGAATACAATCTGGCGCTTAAAAGACAACTAAAAAATTGTAAAAGTAACATTTCTCTTTTTTATATATATTTATATTTGAAACATGACTTAATATATTAGTGATTTACTTGCACCACTATTCCCAACAGCCAGGGATTGAACACATTCATGTAAATTTAGCTGTTTGATTAAAATCAGATGGTCTTCTTTTTAGCAAAATATTTTCAAGTTATAAAATAAAAATTAAAATTGACTTTTCTAATCCATTAGATCAAGATCAGATGGTTGAAAATTGTTTAACTGTGTATGAAAAGGTGACTGGAGTGGATTCAAATACGATTTCCATGTAGCAGCACAGATCAGCGGCGGTCAGCACAAACGCATACTTTTTTGTTGCAAAATGTAGTCAAATTATTTTGCAAATATGAACAATTACGCCGTTACATGTGTGATTGGTGCCGTGACCTCGGACGAATTTCCCTGAAGTATGTGAAAAAAAAACGAGTTAATGAATACATCAGTGTATTCTCGTTTTTGCCCCTATAATTTAGGTATGTGTGATTATGACAACAAAATAGTTTTAATACTTGAAAAAATTATTTTTTAAATATATTAAATAATTAATATATTTGAATCAAATATATTAATTATTAAATATATTTAAAAAGTGGATTTTTTTCTTATAATAAAAAATAAAGAAGAAATATGTAAATAAGAGTGTGCAAAGAGAAAATAAAATATAGTAAATTTAATATTTTAAAAGAAAAAAATAGAAGCAAAAAACTTATCTTCTCTCAATTTATGAGAAGAATATTAATTTTTAAATGACTTCAATTTTAGAAACTAACACAGGAAAAAAACTTACAATTATGATAATATTTTTGCACTCTATTTTTTAAAGTAGCCAAAGTAGTACCAACAACTTATATTTTAGATATATTAAATAATTAATGTATTTAAACTATATATAATTTAAATATATTAATTATTCAATGCATCTAAAAAATAAATTTTGTTTTTATAGTAAGAAATATATAGAGTAATAATTATTATAAATTTATATTAAATGATAATAATTACTAAAAATTTATAGATAATTGTTAATGATAAATATGTTTGAGTCTCAACCTCAAAAAATTAGCTTAAGTAATGTGAGACTTCAAACAAATTTCAACAACACAACAAACATAAATAATGTGAGACTTCAAACAAACTCCAATAACACAACTATCAACTTCAACAGTCATCCTCACGTCTAGTGTGAGCTTGAGTCAAATACCCACATTGTAATTTTTAATTCGACTATGATACCATATTAAATATGCTTGAATCTCAACACCAAAAGTTAGTCCAAAGAGCGAGTTGTGCTCGTATATTTATACATTCAATAATCCAAAAACTTAAACAATATATAACTTTCAATAAACTTTAACAACACAACTATAAACTTCAATCAATTAGTAATAGAGTTTGAATTTTAGTAAAGACACGTAACCTAATAATATTAGCTTTTTTTCAGTTGACCTAAAATTAGCGTTTTTCCAAGGAAAATCATATGTTTTTTTTTGTAAAAAATTTTTAAAAATCGTTTCATAATTCACCCCACTCTTTTGTTTGATGTCACTTGGTCAACACTAAATTAATACATTGTTAGGTTATGAGAGGTCCAGGGATCATCACATCAGACTTTCAACACTCACATTTTAAATGAGTTAGACGCCACATATTAATCCAAAACCTTAAGGCATTGAGTCTATAGATCTTCTCACTAGTAAAGTGTTCAACATTCACTTTTTCATCCGACGTGGAGCTCATACTCACACTTGATGTACTAACAATCTTCTCCTCAAGTATGAGTTCATCCATTCTTATGGGAATACTCCCCTTCAAACTTAAGCATTTTTCCATCCATATCTACATGCACCACCGTTGGATGGCCTCAATAGCACACGCCTCCTGAACACTCTAGCCATGAAGACTTTTGATACAAGGAGCCCTAGTCAAACTAGGCTCTGATATAATCACTATTGGATTATGAGAGGGTATGGGGATCATCACACTGGACTTTTAGCACTCACTTTTAAATGAGTTGGACATCACATATTAATCCAAAATCTTAAGGTATTTGGTTTATGAGTCTTCTCACTTATAAAGTATTCAACATTCACTTTTTCATCTGATGTAGATCTCATACTCACACTTGATATACCAACTATTCTAGACTGGCCCAATGACTAGAATTGACCAAATCTACTTCCACCTTTGGCACGAACCAACAACAGTGACCTAGCACTATGGTCGACCACGCCCCTGAGCACACGACCAGCTATTCCCGACATGCACGTCTGACCCAGTCAACAGTTGTCTTCCGTCAGTCCGACACGAGTTGGGCAGACACCCAGGGAACGACCAAAACGACCATTTTCCCGTAATCCTCTTCCTCAGAACAAACAAATACTTAAGAGTATACATGCCCGTGTTGATGCAGTCCTGCCAGTTACCTATTTTGCGGACCCAAATATCTAGGCCCAAGAATAGGAACCAGTGGCTACGCGCTGGAGGAATATTATATAAACCTTCACACATGTGAGGGCCATGTATTCACAATCTCACACCTTAAACCCTAATATTCTGCTTGTTTCTCTTGGCTTCCACACTTACTTTATTGTTGGAGTGCCTTGCAGGTATAACCCCCCATTCTCATCGACTTTCCATCCCATCAAAGATCATCCTCTGACCAGCTTGCAGGCTCTGATCAATCGATAAGATCAGTGGCGTCGTATGTAGGAACTATCTTCCCTGTTTTCTGTTCCCCTTAAGACCAAAGATCCTCATTCATCAATCATGGCCAACCATGATGATCACCAAGTATATGCAAAGATCGTGCTCTCCCCGGCACACAAGACCGACGAAAGCCAAGGACATCCTCACCTCGAGGATAACTTCAGCGCCCGTGACGGACATACTGCGTCCCATAATTCCATCTATGTTCATCACGACAACAATCTATTCTTGGAAGAATAGTTTCCCAAGAACACTGTCGAAGATCAGCCTAAGATTATACAATCGCTCTCTACTTCACAGAACATCAACCCAACAATAGCAACACTGATCGCTGCCCTTAACCAAACTAACTCCCTCATCCTTCAGTAGAGCAAAAGGATGAGGGCTCTGGAGCGGAAATGGTTAAGGTCTCCCCCTCAGAGACACCGATAACATATCTCCTTTAGTATATCGCCTCCCTGAGGTGGGCGTCTTCCAAGAAAGGAAAGACTCGATCTTTCTTTCTGCAAGAAATATGACCGAGCATCTCCCAAAAAGGATAAAGACTCTCTGATTTCCAAGAAAACATAGAGGACCTACAAAGACGACTGCAGTAGGTCACTATCACCCAAACTGAGGTGAAGAGGGCAAAGCCCCTCCCCTCGACGAGGTAATGATGCCCGACGAGGAAGAAACCATCACTCCTTACCGTCATCACCAGGAGAGACCAATGACAACGAACCCCATAGTCAATTATCAAAAGAAATTATGGAGGCATGACTCTCAATCGGGCTCGAGAAGCCGCCCCCGTTGGGATCCTACGACGGTACGACTGACCCAGACGAACATGTAGAAGACATTGATGCCTAACTTGATTACCGAGGCGTGAAATGCATGCTCAAATGCAGATTGTTCTTGATCACTCTGAGAAAATATGCCATGGCTTGGTACAAGAGTTTGCCAGCTGAATCTATCACTTCTTGGAAACAACTGGGAGAGATATTTTCGAGGCACTTCACCACCTCCCGCTGATATGCTAAATCAAAGGCGTCACTAGAAGTGATTATCCAGGGTAGAGACGAGTCCCTACGAGCATATATCAAGCACTTTAATAAAGAATTCATACAAGTATCAACAATTGATGCCATGAAGAAGTATCTTCTTGAACGAGGGCTCCGTCCCTGCACCAACTTCGCGAAGGCTTTGGGCATCGAAACTCCAGCCACACTCGACTCCATCCTCCTCAAGGCTCAAGCATACATTCAGTACAAGGAGAAAGAAGTGGCCAACAATGCTAGGTATTCAAGGCACCGAGAGAGTGCCAAATCCCCGAGAAGAGACGAGCCCTCAACATCCCGTACAGATCCCAAGATTCTAAAGATTACAAGGGGCCCGCTGGTCGATTCCAAGACTACACCCTTATGACCACCTCGAGGGAGCGTATTCTATCTGAATGCGCCAACTCATAATTCAAATAGGCTGGGGGTACGCTTTCCTCGCCAAAAGCCCTCCAAGCCCGAAATCGACAAGATAAAGTATTATAGGTTCCACAAAGTCCATGGTCACAACACCGACGATTGCATCTCTCTCAAATATGCAATCGAGATACTGATCTGAGACAGACACCTCAAGCAGTACAAGAAGAAGGAAGAGAGTTCCCGTGAGGAGCCTCCAGAAACCAAGAGCGTCGAAGAGGGGAAGGAGTCCCTCGACAACTACATCATACCGGTCTCCATGAGTGTATCGCGACCAAAAGATTTCTACTTCTCGGACATGGAGGATATCCCCTTATACTTATCCTTACATAGTCCCTGGGAGTCTTTCCCCTCCGCAACAATCATCTTCGATGGAGGATTCAATAAGCACACAGTGGGGTACATAAAGAGAAAGTCTGATCAGCTCATCAAAGCCAACTCCGACATGGACACTACCCTCGACAAGTTCAGGTAAGACTTTCATCCCCTCGCATCTCTACCGAGAGGAACTGCCAGGCGGAGCTCCCAACTCGACCATCCCATTGCTTGTGCAGGCTTACAAGGCAAACTTCGATGTTCGCTGCATTTTGGTCGATTAAAGAAGCTTGGTGGATATCATGTACACCCAGGTGTTTACCACCCCCAGTTGAACGAAACCCACCTGACCCCATACGTGGGCTCGGACCTTCAGGGCTTCAACGGGGACAAAACCAAACCCTAGGGGTATGTAGAACTAATTGTCACCTTCGGGAGAAGGGTGACCACCTAAGCCATCAAGACTTAGTTTCTAGTAGTGGACTTCCCGTCTCTCGATCAATGTATCTTCGGGAGGTCCACCCTAGCCGAACTGATTGTGGTGCTCTTCACTGTGCACCTCAAGAT